CTGGTGCATTGTTCATTGAACAAATCCTCTCTTGCTTCTAGCAGTAGATCTTGATTGATCTCCTCTAGACTCCAACCGTGGGTTGTTCCAATCGTTATATGCCATCTGCACTGTTGCTGCAACTGATACATCAAAAGAGCTCGTTGTTTAAGAGGGTCTGGAGCATGACGCTGGTGGTGCTCTTGCAATGCTGTCCAGAATTGGATATGCATCTGTACTCGGACATCCGGCCAGTCATGGATTCTCATTGCTAGAATCATCCTTGGTGCTGCTTTGTTGAACTCTTCCCAGGTTAAAAACTCATCTTTGGTTACTGGGGCGGCCTTGGGGTCTTTGACTGCTGCAGCAGGAATCCAGGAGTGGACTCCATCTGTGGATGGCATCATTACTAGTGCATCTGGCTCGGCGATGAGCATTGAGACCTTGGCGTCTTCCAAGCCTATATTTGTGAGTAGTGCAGCTCACAGTACTCCCCAGCTTTTAGATGTCTTGTTGCATACTGAGCAGGGATTATGGTAGGGTCAGAAGGGACTTTGGCTCTTATGAGGGGAGCATATTTGTTTTTGTTCTTCTTGCGCTCTTCTAAATGCGCTGCTGCTTCCTTGTCTTTGAGGGTTTGTTGACACTGTTCTTCTTCTTCTTCTTCCTGCCTTCATGCATTCTCTAGACATTCTAGTTGATCATTCCAATGCTGTTTGTCTGCGTTGTTATTCAGAGTCCATAGCGCCGCTAAGGAGTGAGCAGCTTGTTCATCCGTAAATCCTTCATCCACAAGTTGTTGACAAGCTTCATGATGCTCGTTTGACACGAAATCTGGTTGTCTTACAAGATTGGGATCTCCGTTGAACATTTGTAGAATTTTAAAAGGGATGCAAAAGACTGGACTAGTGTCTAGTACTTGAGACAAGAAACTTTGGCTGAGGTGGGCAGAAGCAAGAAACCTGCGCCACCTCGCCTAATTTTGCCCATAGACTTAATTCTATGCAGGCCTCGTGCCTCGGCCTGCTTAGAAAGCCAGCTGGGAAAATCATCACATTAGCTATTTACTTTCAGTGTTTGCCGAAGACAGTTCCTCAAGCTACAGTGACCAGTACCATGTAGAACACTTGAAAGTGTACATGTACATCCAATCTGTAGAAAAAATTTGAAAAGGGAGTTGATACTAACATCAGGGAATTGACCTCACAATGATAAAGATTTACCTTCATTTATCTTGTCTAAAATGGGTGAAATAAGTATCATTATGATAGATCAGTAGACAAATCATTATATATCTGGAGTAACTTGGATGGAATATGCCTTGTCTATCTTTCTTATAAAGAAGGTATGTTTTATAATGGTTGTCTCCTTGTTAGCCAATGGCAATCAGTACCACTGGCTAAATAAAGGGTTGACATTCCCACGTGCTCAATTGAACGTATGTTTGACAAGTCAAGGTCCATGCTTGCAGTGTAAGTGTAACATGCTACAGTTGGCATGCAGCATGGCAATTGATATCACTCTACAGTGCTTGTAAAGAAAGATTCTGCATGCGTTATCAGCCAAATCAAACATAAGTTTGGGCGCTGATCTTCCATTGCATGGTAAGCTTATCATGGCACTACTTCTCACGTCCCTCTCACTGGCACCAGCTTACAGCTGCTTGCAGCCCTCTCATGTGAGGGCAGTCTACTCCATAGATACCACATTGCCCATGTGTAGCAGGGCACCATCATACCTGGTCAGAATGTCCTATGCCGTTCCTTCACTGCAAGGTAAGCTTGTCATGGCGCTACTTCCCCAAGGCCCTCTCACTAGCGCCAGAATTATGAAAATTGGTCTCAGCCTCATATCAAATACATGTAAATTAAGGCTTCAATATGTGTGTTGTAATAATAGTAGTGCTATTAGACCAATAACTGGAACACATCAAGCAGTACCTCTGTCTGCATCTTTTAGAGCTGGCTCTCTTTTGGCGAATCTTAGAGAGAGCACTGTTCGCTTTGAGAGGTCGTTTGGCAGCTGACGATGTTGGAAATATCTGACTAAATTGCTGTAAGAGTTTGAGCATTTCAGAAAACATGTTGACCTACCAATTCCACCAAAGTAGTAGTTCTGTGACTTCCCTACACTCATCTGGGTCCTCCAAAATGTCAAGAAGGGAGTGATAGAATGTCTCTGAGTCTGTAACTGTGTTGGTGCATGAGAATACTGAGGATGAACAGAGTGCAAATCGAATCTATGCCAATCATTAGTCACAAATAAACAATAATGTGAAGTTCCATAGAAACCTGGGTGGCCACATATGCTACTGAAGCAGATGTGACAGTAGTCATACCATGAAGTCGATCATTTCCTGCACGTGTCGCCTTGGGCTCTTTGTCCACTGAACTTGGTGATGTAAAAACATGCCTGAATGCCTTGTTCAACGATATACAATAAGTATGCATGTATTCAAAAAGCGCACTCACATTTACAAGCAAGTGGCTTCTGAGAAGGCCATTCCAAGGATCCTCTGATCATAGGCCTCATTGGCATATATAAATAGAGGCCATTGGTCTCCACTGACAGAGAGTTCACCACTTTGCAGTTTCTGTTTTGTGCTGATCAAGTATCAGTGATTGATGTCTGAATATAATGACTTTAACAGCTTACTCTGTGTCATCCCAATCCAACTCAGCAGGACATAGTAAACAACCAGTGAGAGGGTGATTGAAGCCCCGACTGGTCTTAGAATTCCATGGCAAAGGAGGCACTACTGGTTCACCTGCTGGAGCTATCCAATCAATGATGACCGGTTTCAAAGACTTTGTGTCCTCCCCCCTTGCAGCAGCAGCTGTCCTGCATGATTTGGGAATCATGCATGGATATGACTACTAGGTATCCCCCTAAAAGACAAAGTCTGTTAGCTTAGTCCTCAGACTAGTCAACCCATACCTTGGTATCAAACCTCGGTCCAATAGTTTCAGTTTTCCCTCAGTGATTCATGAATCCACCATGTTTTGAAGAAAAGTCATATGTGAGATGGGAATCACATAATGACCTAGTTGATATGAGAAGCAAATTGAAGGTTAAGGTATTGCCTTTCCTTTGGCTTATTCACTTTGGCTAGAGAAACCCATAGAGAAAAGTTCAAAGCCTAACAAAAACCTATCTAAAAAGCCTGCGTATTGTGTACTATTATTTGTTCCATTATTTCTGAGTAGTTTTCTCTAGTGTTTCTTTACTTTACTTTTCTATTAGGATGCTCTGACTAATCAGATGCTTCATAAAAGTGTACCTACAGGGTATGATGTCATAATGATGTCATCAATTTCAGAATGTTCTATGGAATTTGCTAGAACATTCCGATGACTCATAATGACTCATAATGACTCAGAGTGACTCAGGATGATGTCATTATCCCACCATGAATCTTCTGGAATGTTCTGTTGCACCTGCTAGAACATTCTGCTCCAGTTTTTGGGATATTCTTCTCACATTCTGAAGTCATTACATCACCTTTTTACTTACATAATATTCCCACACAAAATGTATATAAGGAGAACCCATTCTTCCCCCCAAAAAATAGATCTCCCACTTGTTGCATTCAAGAATCTCCCACTTGAGCCAATTGAACTCTCACCTAAGAAGCTTCAGCCTGAACAGATTGCTGCTTACAAAGCCCATTTCCTTTGTAAGTACTGTCCAGACAAGTGCAGGGAAAGTGTATCCCTTGAGATTACGTAAGTTTCTCATGATAGAAACCCAGTTTTGTGAGACCAGTGTTCTCACCATGTAGTGTTTACTGACCAACACGAGCTTTGGTCATCATTGTATTTGTAAGACCAGCGTTCTCACCAGGTATTTGTATACTGACCAACACGAGCTTTGGTCATTGTAGTCACATTTGAGACCAGCTTCTCAACAGTTAATCGTATATTCAGGAAACCAGTTCAAGTGTCTAGACGGTGTAGAGACTCACGTTTCTGCAGGCACATATGGGCTCATTTTATGAATTCTGACAACTGGCCTTCATGGCACAACTTGCACCATCATCCACTATGACTTCCACCATGGAGCGTGCCACTTCCTGCGAAACGCGCCATAGGCACGACACTTTCCTGCACAATGCGCAGCACTCCCGTGTGCGTGCCTTGCGCGCTTTCTCGCGCTTAAGCGCACTACGTCACACAGCATCCAGGAGCATCCATCCATCGTCCGACCAGTCCCTCAGTATGTCCCTTTCATTATCTGACCATATTTAGCATATTACACTTCCTATTTCATTATGGACCCTTACTTTACCTCACTTACATACTTAGAGCGCTCCCTATTCAGCTCCGAGCCCTGGGAGAGCGCTTAGGTAGAACTTACATACTTTCATGTTCGTTTTACACCCCACTTTACCACCAGCTTCCTACCACTCAGTATCTATCACCAGTTAGTTCCATGCAATGCATATATCCATCATCATCTTGAGGCCCTAGCATCAGTCTATAGCTAGTGGCACTATCAGTATCCACCTAGATCCGCACTTTCCCTCTTATCAGTCTCAGTATACGTCCTCTACACTTGTGCACCGCTTGCACTACCTTCCTGCACTTCACGCACTTTCACACTTCGCTTTCCCACGCGCACTTTCAGCGCATTTCTCACGCTTTCACCGCCATTAATCAGGGTTGTTCAGCATCATTCCGTGGATCCTTGCTTTCCTTGCTTCCCCTTTAGGGTCAAACATTCTTGCATTCTGCGAGTATAGCAGCTAGGCAGAGCTGAGACTCACTTATACTGGTTGAGCACGTTTCTTATATGTGCCTGCCAGGTTGTGAAACCCAAAACGGTATATCCTAGACAATCCCATAGTTTCAATCAGAGATTATAAAGCTCTGGCTAAGTTAATCTAACTGATTGGTTTAGCAAGCCTCCCAAGAACTCACATGTTATCTACCACGAAAGAAGAAAAGTCATAGACCGTGTTAATCGAGGACTGGCAAGAAGTCTTATCCAGTGTAATTGTGGTGTCATTACATTCTTACACGTATTCATATAAGACCCTCGGTTATTAAGATACCGCTCCCTTGCCAATCTTCTTGGATAAGTAAGGATATTGTTGGCAGACGCATGTGACTCACCAGCTCCCCAATATGAAGGAGTGCTTCCTCCGAACCTTCCTTCAGTCGTTCTAAGAGCCCTGGATAGGAATCCAAGAGCTTTTCAAAGACCAAGTGCTCTCGGCGTTCCCTGACAGCTTTATTAGGTGTTCAGTAGTGGGAAATAACGCAATATTGACTCAGCGGAAAAATCTTCTATGGAAGTGTCTTCCAGTTGTTCCAATCTTAATATTCCATTTGTTAGAAGAGAGGGATAGTTGCAGAGGGTGAAAACCGTGTGACCAAAATGTCAACCATGTGAAACAAGGGGATCAGATTTCAAGCTAAAATGCTAATGTCAGGGCGCACATTTCTAATAGGTTAATGACATACCCTCTCTTGCGGGGACCCAGCTGAAGAGCTGATGAACTCCTCTTGCGAGATTCATTTGAAGATGAATTGTCTTCGTCCATCTGAGTGTGTGCACAATTGTCTATTGTGCCCGGTCCTTTCATTTATACATGACTAGCCGACGAATCATGGCAGAGCGCCAACAGATGACGATAAATGCTGAGTGCCATGTCATAATAAATATGTCAGCAGTCCAATAGCCATGCTGTAAGACAGCTACAGTTCCTTACATTGAGTGTAATGGCAATAACAAACACTATTTTGGATAGGACATCAGGTTCTTGCAATATATAAAGTATACCTTCAGAACCCGTGTTGAACTTGTCTGAGGCAAAATGCAATGATCGGTGATGTTAAATGGCTGCAGTTTAAACTTGAATTTGCGGTAAGCTCATCAGTACCCCATTAAATGCACTTTGCATCATAATTCTGAAGGATCGAAATTGACTTGAAGGCTGATAAAAGAGGTGAGCCAGAATCGGAGATATCTATGTTTGTTCAACATCTTCCTTCACAAGCATTTAAAAAGAACTCACCCGTCCAACAAACAGAAGTTCCTGTACCAATGGTCAGTGCACACATCAGCATCTGAACAATGCTCAAATACCCCAAGTAGTTGAAGACCTTGATCTCCAAGAACGCCTGGCAGTAGCGGAAAAGAACTGTAGTCATTTCTTTGAGCTGTACAAGAAATACAGATTGAGATGGTTAGAGGAGATTCACTGAGCAAACATTCTAGAGGAGTATGCACCACCTGATGTGAACTGCTACACTGCTGCTCAGATGCAATGGGATGCGCCATCTCCATTCTCTGGTGAAGTTCTAGGTGAGATTGCAAAATTAGTATGATGTTCTCTGGATAAAGCTAAAAATTAACAGATGAACTTGATGTAACACCAGAGGGAACTAGTTTGAATGTGTGTCAAAAACCTGTGGTAAAGAAATGAAAGGAAGGAATACAAAGTACAGAGGACGTAAAAGTGCAAAGTACATGACCAAGGGTGTATCTCCTGCGCTTTTTTAGCATGACTGTGCTAGGAATGTCATGGTTAGAAGATAGAAGAAGCGCTTCACCAACATTGGACGCAGAAAGCTTAGTTATAGGGTCAAATTTCACTGAATATAGAGTATAAAAGCAACACTATTCGATCACTACCAATTAGCTCAAACTTCTCAATGAAAGTAGTCATTTGTTGCCCAGCCGTTACGCCCCTCCTTCCACCGATCAAAACCCTTATCCGTGTGGAAAACAAATGAGGCCCTCCTACCCTCATAGTGCAGGTTAAAGTGAGGAAGATGGCAAAATCACCGCAACAAATCCAACATCTTTCATGCTGATATATGAAGGTTGTTGTGGTGTTCAAGCTCGGGCTAGCCTCGCAGAAGCCCTTTTTCATATAGAGGTCAAACTATGCAGGAACTACTTTCCATACATCCTTCACCACTTTTCTACCATTGCCAATTTAGGCCGAAACCTTCAGCCAAGGCATCGGTCGCATTTCACGTGCCTTCATCGGCCGACCCGATCGCAGTCCGACACATTCCCACGCCCTGCATGCTTCAGGATGGTCAGTGATAGACAAAAGCACTCCCTGCCACATTTCCCTTGCATATCCATCCATGTCCGACATTTTGCACAGCCGCATCGGCCGTTCCTGCATACCCAAGCCTATTCCCGCGTGTCTGGACCATTCCTGCGCAGTCCGATCACCTTTGGCCAAGTTCCCATGCCTTCGGACTGCTCAGAAACCATTTTAGGGAAGCCCCGTGTCAATTCCATGTTCATCCAAACTCCACTGGTGTGTGTTTTTACATACTTGCCTCGTGTTGTAACAAGGGTTTCAGCCTTATTATATGTTCTTACATATTTCCACTATTCCTGTCCCTTCCGAGTCCGAGAGGATTTAGCTAGTATAAAGAGCCTGTAGTGACTATTTCATCATTACTTCCCTTCAGTGGTATTTCCTTCCCTTTGGTTTTACTTCGAAGTAGTCACCCATTAGGTTCCGCTCTTAGCCCCTATTTGGTTACCTGATACTCGGACATCTTACCTAGTCTTTCCTTGACCTTGCAGTTCAATCCCTTGAAACCTAGTCACTCCCTATCACTTGCCTTACTTGTCCGCTTTGCATCGGCCGAGTTCTCGCACTATTTCCGTCCGCTTCAGCCATTCCCATGCTTCAGATAGCTTTGGACCTGTTCCTGAGTGTCCGGTCTACCCCTATCTACATTCCCACGTCTTTACTTTCTATAGGTTCATAGCCGTTCTCAGTAGCAGTCCCCTTTAGGGTCGAACATTCTTGCTTACAAGTGTAGCAGCTAGGCAGAGCATAGACTCACATTTATTTGGCTAGTTTTCCCCGAGGCTAGCCATATCTTGTCACCACATTGTCATTGGGAGTGGATGGCCAAGGTACATGACATTCTCACCTATCATCAATCAAAGGTAACTCATGAGGGGTTCCTGGCAGGGTGCGCAGATACCGAACTCTCTCAAGCAAGTGCAGGGCCTCATGATTTCCATCCGCCGGCCCTGGAGCATACTCAATAAGCATAAGTTCACCAGCTGTGAGTTCCAGATTGAAATTGAATGTCTCTGTTGACATCAGAAGAGATGCAAATGTCGACTGAGCCATGTTAGCCTGACAGCAGGGAAGTCTAAGGTTGGAGCTGTAATCAGTCTCAGACTATATTGAACAATGGCCATACCAATCTATATATATTCAAGTTCACTGAACGCATGAAAAGTGGCCACTTAGGTTGAGCCCATCATTGTCAGCACCTGACAACAACTAGCTCAAATTCCCACCATGATCATGTGATTGATGTCTTGAACATGGCGCTTAAGCAAAGTATAATTAAGTCCTAGCACGAATGAATTGTTGAGTGCAGAAATCAAACATGCTTCATGTCTTGAGAACAGTTAAGATGCCGGTACATTGTATACATAGACTAACATTCTCCAATACAAGCTCTTTCACTGGGAATGTCAGATAAGTGACAATGAGCTTCAAATGCATCATGATTAGAAGACTTACTACATGCAATGACGATCATGTATTCGAGTGAAAAAAAAATACAGGCATCAACTCCTGCAAGTGTTGGACCTGAAATGTATGGATGCGAACAGGAGTTCTGATGACAGGTCCAAGAGCTTGTCTCTTGTAATGTCCATCCTTGTCTACACCATACACATTGATATCTCTTTGTAATATTAATAAGACGTACTGGGTGGATAGAAAGCCAAGCTAAATACCTGATAAAACCAAGGTCCTTGGCTACATGCTGAATCTGATCCAGAGGTGGGCCCTTTAGACGCACGATATGTTTGTATATCAGAATAACGTTGGTGGCAGCTGTTCTGTCCAGTGTCACATTAAGCACCTTCTGACACCATTCATAGAACTTGAAACTCGAATCAATCAATATCAGCAAATATAAGGGAGGAACTCACTAGGCATACAATGAATGCGACCACTTCCAGGGAAATGTTTCCGTGCTGGTCCAGAATTTGATCCCAGTAGACATCAGCTATGCTAATGGAAGGATTAGATGCTACTGGATGTAAGACTATGTGGTGCCAAATTTTTTTGGCCATCTGTAGGCCAATGATTTCTGCGATGACATCATAGTCAGCCTGAATAAAATGAGATTGAGGTAAGTATTACTACGGTGAGTGTAAGATCACTGACAGAATCAGAGATGAGCTGTGTGTTGAGAGCTGCAAGCATCCTCGAAGTTTGTATCTGTAACTGGTCTTGATTGTTGCAGAAACCCATACATTCCCCTGGCTGCAAACAATGCCCGATGACCTTGTGCCAATCGGAAGCAAAGTTATTAGGTTTGTGATTGTACTGACCATTATCAAATATCAGCGGTTGTTCAGAAGATAAATGATGAATATATTGCCTGTTCTCTCAAATGGTGCCAATGGAAGCGCATTCCTGGAACCAGTTCCACTGGGAATATGATGACTATGAGCGCGCTGTAGAGACTTGTGTTTCTCCAGGCTCATATGGGCCAAATTCACGCCTTTTCACGATGCACTCGATATCCTTGCAACACGCTTCTCATATGACTTCCGCGCAACACGTGCTTTGGCGTGTACCAGCGCGTTTGAGCGCGTTACGGTGCACTTCGTCGCATTTCCTTAGGATCCGTCACCTGTCCTCCACATGTCCTGTCCTAGTCCTCCAAGGTCCATTGGTGTGTTTTCCCTTCTTCAGAACTCATACTCCGTCACGCAGGCACTAGTACAGTACTTATCATCATATCTCGTTATGGACCCTGACTTACCTCACCATTTACCTTAGTACTTCCTATTCAGCTCTGAGCTGTGGGAACTCACTTAGCATACCTACACGTCACCATGTTTGTTTTCCTGTCACTTACTTCCACTCCACTACCATCGAAGTGTAGAGCTCGAGTTTCTATCTGAATACACCTGTTTCCTTCCTATTGGTGCTTTGACACCTCTAAGTGTCTACTTCCACGTCTATCAAAGTCTTGATTCCCCCATTTATTGCCACCTCTACTCGAAAGCACTCTGTTGTGATCGCACGAAGTGCGCTTTGACATTGAAGCGCGCCTTTCTGCACTTTCCGCCTTATTAGCGTGTTTAGGTGCCTTTAGCTAGTGCTCTTCGCTTTTGGGTGCATTACTTGCCTCAGTGTCCCATTCAGGCTTTGAGGCCGAACCACTGGTTATAGATCCCCCTCACCTTTCACTAGAGGAATCTTTCTCAGTAGCAATCCCCTTGGGACGATTTTCCACTCGTATCCAGAGGAGCACTTGAGAGCCCACTTCCCACTCTTCCCCCTAGCACGCAGCTATCATTCCTCGCCCTCAGTGCATAACATGAGGTATTAAAAGATACTCACAATCTATTGATTTACAATCGTCATATGACATGCCGCTCCTGGAGAGCGCCTCCAGGAAACATTGTGTAAGGAATCAATGTCTGACACCCAGCAACTTCACGACCTCCACAGCATGTCCATACCGACCCACTACTAGACTTCCTATAATGCACATTTTGAACCACCGTATGATGGTTGTCCAGGGATTATCAAGTGTTAGGTTGGCTATAACTGCCTGACAAAGGGAAGGCATGCTCCAGAATCGACTTCATATTAGCAGGCCAGCTTAACTCTTCAGAGAAGGTGGTCATTGAGCTTGAGGGTTGCACCAAGCCTTGTGATGGAATAGATGGAGATGGAGATGGTCCATTTGCACCAGGGCTAGGAATGACATTGAAGTATCCTATTATGGTCAGTAGAGGAGTGTCCCAGAAGTATAAGCACATACTTAACTGTGAGTCGTAAGATCCTACGGTGTAGTTGGTCAAGTGACTGTATGTTGTGCCATCAAAAGACATGTCGCTTGTAAACGCAGGTTGCCAAGAGAATACCATTGGCCATGGCGCTAACTTTGTGCTAAAGTTGAGTTCAACTGCTCAGACAAGTCAGATAAAGCTGTAGAGGTGTTGTGGGTATAACAATGCACGATCAGGCCATGTCCAGACTGATATCAGCCTATGTTTGAGAACCCTGGAAACTATATTGACATTGTAGAGCATTTTGTCATCTTGCTGCTGTATGACGAGATATCTGAACATTCTAAGAAGTACTGCAGGAGACTACTCACAGTGAAGCCGTAAATAGGTACAAGGACCTGATACTCTGATCTTTCGGAGTGCTCAACAAGGGGTCCACTGTGATCATTCATGGTTATATATCCTATGGAAGGATCAGTGGTCATCGCTACATCAGCTGGCCACTGTGATTGCGTCAGATAAACCAGAGCATCAGATATGCTAGACAACCTACGTAGCATGGGCCAATGCTAGTCCCAGCTAACATGTAACATGCAAAGTCCAAGTTCATACACAGTTCATCGAAGCCACCCTACAACATGAGGACCATAGATGTTACTGATCTGACCCAAAAAAGAAAAAAAAAACTCGCCTCCTCCTGATTGATATGTTAGTATAATGCAAATGCTAGTCAGAGCTGAAAAATGATACTGCAGAAAAAAATATGAATGAGAGAGCAAAAAATTCAGAGATATGTACTACTACATCAACAAAAGAAACACTGTCATATAATCACATACCACGGCATAAAATCAGTAAAATAGGTACCAGACAGTACATACTGGTGCCATGTTTGCACATACCTTTAAATTGACAAATATGTGACTGTTTGTATCAATGCTCATTAGGAGGATGGTATGGCATGAATGAGATTTTACGGTTTGTATGTAATTCTATGCTATGTATGTCATTCTAGGCCATATGTGCATTTTCACGATATATATGCAAATATACGATATGCATGTGAGGTCCCTCATTAATTGCTGGCAGCTATCATAGCATCAATGCCAGGTTAGTAATTCACACTTGTCATCACACATGAGATATAAATAATCAATCTGGTTCCATTTATGAGCGCATGGTAGTACAAATCAGTGAATACGAGCAAGTCCGAGTAACACTGTAGTGCGAGTCGACAAGAATAGCAAGTCCCAATGAGATACACAATTCAGCGTCTTCGACAAGTGCCCCTGCCACACTTAACAGGAGGACCCTTGCGTTTTGTGACTGGCAGAGGAGTTGAGGGTGGAGGAGTCAACCTGTCGTCATCGTCCTCGTCAATATGATGTGAGCCTTGCAGTGGCGTTACCTGATGCTGCTCTTCAGGTGGTGGGGGCGAGGGACATTGTTGTTGTTCG